GACAGCTTCTTCTAACCTCTGTGAGGACCAGGCATGCATGCTCTACACAGACATGCACACAGGCAAAACTCTCGGATACATAAAATAAAAATTAAAAGCAAAACAAAGGCTGTTTTTTATAAAATGATAGTAAGAAAAATGTTAAAACTCCTTTAGCTACAAAGAATGTGAAAAATATCACTCAGTCTCATGAACATATTTAGCCAAGAATGTGTCTTTTAAAGAGATTTATAATCCCCCCCCCATTTTTATGAAATCAAAGAATGTTACCATCTTAAGTCGATTCTTTTGCAGATCTAGGAAGGACCTGAGTCATTTGAAGTGCATGTTTGTGTGTGCTATTTCTCCTTGCCACAGTTCTAAAAAATTTATCAGCTGGGAAGGAGAGCTATGTATGTGCTACCTCAAAATCACACTTTGCCTTCCTTTTTTCCCCACACTAGTTAAGCAATATAAAGAGTTTTAATTGACATCAGGCTTTGACCAAGGAGTCATAGGTGTATTTCATACAAATTCAGAGCATACTAAAGTAGTGTCAAAGGGAGGCAAGAAAAGTTAGGTGCGAGGTTGGTAATTAACAAATTCTTGCAAAACTACCATTTGTTTGTTTATACAACAGCAGTGTAGTATAAATGGTTGTCTTACCATTGAAGCATGCGACTGAGGACAAACCTGTTGCCTGTTATAGAATATTCACTTCATCCATTGTTTCTGACATTTTCTTGCTTTTTGTACTTACCTATGTAAAACTCATCAGAATTATACACATGTGAGCTTAATATGTTAACAAAATTTTCACTTGAAGATTCCATGAACCCCAAACACATCGTTATTTCTTTCCTTATCAGAACCTCATTTGAGGGAAGAAGTAATTCACCTTTAAGAGGAAAATCACAATGCAAGGAAAAATGAACATTAAAAGAGAGATCTGTTAGTTGGAAATCATTTATTGCCTCTATAAAAGTTTAAATAAAAACTCTACAAAAATTCACATTACAATCTGATATGGTTTTAAAGAGATTATATGCTTCAGAGGTAGTACCAGTAAAATGGGATGCAGGATTGCTAGAAGGGATTACTCAGTAAATTAATGCAAAATAAAATTTCAATGGGGAACAATATATACCCAGTATACAATTTAATGGAACAATTATAATTATATTAGCATGAAAATATCCCTTTCTTCTCCCCCCTTGGCAAATCTGTTCTTAATAAAGGCTTGTTTATATCAATTGCAGGTTCACAAGTTAGTAGGCTATTTCATTAGAGCATTACAAAGCATAGCTTGGTAAAGGGCATGGCACAGTGCTGTCTGTCAAGTTTAACACACCTTCAAAAGGAAATCTACCATTTAGATACAACTGCAATGGTAACTCTTAAAAGAACAATATCTTTTTTCCAATGTTGGGAATTTGAATGAAAATAAAATTTATTAAAATGTCACACCATTCCTGGTATTTCATCACTACCTCATGGATAAAAGGCAGCAATTAAAGTTTTCAGGATTTCTTTCAAAGATGATTATAAACAATCAGGCTAAGAGGAGGGGCTGAACACTCCTCCACAAAAAAAGGAGACAAGTCATCCTTATCATTCAGTGTCTGTTTATATATACCACTTAGCTTTTCTCTTACAAACTGATAAGACTGCCTAATAAAAGGGCCCTAAAAGTAGATGTTTCTGTCTTTGCAAAAACGAACTCTTGCCATCTTTTGAGATCTCAGTATTAACTGTATACTGAACCCAGGATGTGAGTGGGCCACAGCCTTTTTCTCCAATAGTAACAAACATTTTATCACTGATTACATTTGCAGTGTATAAGTCCTGTTGATAGCTGACCTTACAACAAAACATCCCCAGGTTCCCTAAACAGGCCAATTTTCTTTTAAAATTTTCTTTGCATGCATTAATTATCCTATTCTCCAGGGCAAATGCAATTCTCATTTTCTTGCAACTAATTTTAGCTTGGCAGAATGAAGAAGGTGCCTTATTTTTGTTGTTACTGTTGTTTCAGGGTTTGTTTTTAACCCACATTTTTGAAGGTAAATACTCTCAGACATATATTATGTGATTAGAAATTGCTTGGTATTCTAAGCTTACAGTAAATATTTACATGTAATTATGTAGGAAAAAATTTCCCATTTACTTTTGCTTCTCTGAATGATACTTCTGGTAGTGTAATTTGCTTTGATATCGTCAAAGCCCTAAAGAAAGAAATACTAGCTAGCTGATATTCACTATCATCCACAGATGTGTTCAAGAAAACAGTCAAAAGCTGTCTTTTTTGTTCAAAAAATCTCAAAATCAAATCCAGTACAGTTGTAAAAAATATTTTTCCATTATAGTAGTTTGGTGTTGGTCCTTCTGAAGTGCTTGGTACTGAACATAGGGCCTTGTGCAAATGCCAAGCTAGTTCCCCAATTTTATAATAGCTTTTCCAAATAGTTGCTTTTCTTCAAGATCTGTGCGATGTATTCAATCTGCCAAAGTATGATTGTTTTTGCATTAATGCAACTATATCCTTTGGGTCTGACTATAAAACATCTTCAGTAATACTTTTAAATGTTTTTATTCCTGTTTTCATAAAAGATATTATTCTGTGGCTGAAAGAAAAACACAAGGATAAAAGTAGTTCTAAGTAGATTGTTAGAACATATAGTTACTGAAACTTTACAAATAAGGGAGCAATCTATGTGTCTTCCCAAAATTACAGATGTACAATTCCTTCTAAGTGTCAGGTCTGTTAGAATTCTTAAGTCAATTACAACTGCTAGTTGAAAACCTTTTTATTAATATTCCTGAAAAGGTTGACAGGAAACCTTTCTTTGTAATTTGAAGCTTTCCTCAGCCTACCCAATGTAGAGTTATCAGTGTGTGCCATTGTATCCAGCTGAAATCATCCTTTTTGCAATCCATAGATTGATAAGAAATCTACTGTCTGACACAGTCTTTTCTATAGCAAGAGCTCCATGAATGTTTTCTTTTATTTAGTGACAAATTTTAAGGTGTGAAAAATGAAATTCTGAGTGTTATAACACATAGGAAAGACTCACCTTTACTCTCTTTGCAACCAAGACCAAGTATGAAGAGTTTTAAACTCAAGCAGTTTAAGTTTAAAGATAAACTCAACCATACTGAAGACTGTAGCAGAGATTTGAGACTAGAAATTTGTTTATACCAGGACCTTTTGGTACAACGGTAGCATATCTGGCCCCAGAAACTTGGTCATACTAAAAGAAATACAACTTGGTATGCTGAAACATGTCTATCATCCTAGCATATAGGAAACAGAGGCTAGAGCAGCAGGATTTAAGGTCATCCTCAGCTATATTGGGAATTAAAGGCAGGCCAGCCTGGGCTACAGAAGACCTTGTCTTAATCCTCCATATCATAAAATAATGGTTTCTGTATTTGTTGCATATAGAGGGGACTCTTTATCTCATGGAGAAATTTGTGTGACTGAAACACTTAATCCAAATGTTTTAGGTTCTGTTGCTCAATGGTCTTTTCCCTGAATGGAATCTGATTTGTCAGCAAGGAATACCAAGAGTTGTTTGCAAAGAACCACATGACCGTCAGCTAAAGGGCATGTAGCTGACTACTGAAATATTTCTGCTGACAAAGAAGCCATAGAAGCTGTGTGGCAGCAATATAAAATCAAGTAGTTGATAATGAACGGCCATCGATGAACTTTACTTGTACATATTGGGGAGAAGGGACATTGCCAATTTAAAGGCATTTGTGACTGCCTTTCAGCATTTATCAGTTGGTATCAGTGAATTCTGAGATCAGAATCAGCCACAGTTAAAAACCTTAAAAGTATTTGAAGCTTGACAATTAAAACAGTTATCCAGCTGCTTCACTCATCTTTTAGGATTAGATAATAATATCATGTAATTTAGTTCCACACAACCGAGTCACAAATATATGACAATGTGAGCTTAGGGAGAAAGTAGTGTTTTCCCATTTACAAATCTTAGTATTCCCATCTGGTATTCTGGAAGGGAAGATATACAAAGAGATGAATATAGTGCACTGCCATCTGGTACTTACTACCAGTAACAACTGGGTATCACGCCCATTTGAGGTGTGTATTCATAGAATAGAATCCAGGAAATTCAGAGTACTTTAATTTACAAAGTAGTACAACTCCTTTTATATTGTTGTTGGCTGATGGCTCTGTGCAGACCTCATATAGAAAAGAGGTAAATTTTGTGGCAAAGTTGTATGACTAGAATAAAGGGAAAACAAGTATCAGTGGAATACTTTGATTTCCTGATTTACAAAATTTCAGATGTGAAAAATATTATGAAAATGTTGGTAAACTTGAAGTATTTGTGCAATATTTTGTCTAACTCAATTATATAAATTTATTATATAGTAAAATGTTATTTGTTAATACTTATCATTTGCAGTATACAAGAACTGAGAATAAAACTGTCTTTTATAAAGTATTATTTTTGTATACTTAATAGTTTTGGCTTTTTGTTGGTTAATCTACTTTCCAGAGTATTTTCACCTCTCCCCAGTTTTAGGGTTAGACAGAAGAATACCAATAACTTACAATTACATCCTAGTAATCATTTCAATTTCTCGTCGTAACCTTAGGTCAAATTTTCATAGGAGTTGAAAATAAATCCCAGGATTCATCTAGGTTAAACATATATTTTAGGTTTGTTTTTAATTTCCAGCCAACTTTCCTGAGTAAAAATGTATACGAATGATAAGAAAATGAAAGAAGAATAAAGATGTAATGGCTACAAAAATAAGAATAATCAAGCTTTAATAACGTAGTAATGTTGAAATACGTTTAATTTTGTGTCTCTGGTTAAAATTATTACTAAGAATAAGCAGAAATATCTTTCAGAAATCAGATATAATAGATTTCATGGATGAGTTGCTTAAAATTAAATATAATTTTTCTAGTATTTTATATAAGATTAAAAATCCATTTCAAGTATTTTTACATTTTACATGCATTGTTTTTATTGTAGCCGTTATATCTTGTTCTTCCTTCACAGCATATGCCTGTTTTAACAATGTGTTTTCCAGTTGAAGATTATTGGGGAAATACAGTTATCTTGAAATGCACACCTGTGAGGCAAACAACAGACTACATCATATCCCCCACCCCTAATCACAAACTGTCTGAGGCATTTTTCTCTGATAAAGAAGACACACTGAATGAGGTATCATCAGGATCCGGTGAGGCATGACTGAAATCCATCTCTTCCAATTCAGGAGGTAAATCTGACAGCAGTGCCTTATCAGAAAAAAAACAAACAATTGTTTTAGATTGGTATGTAGACAGATTTTCTTTCTAATTTTATGTTAATAGCTATAATTTTCTTTTTAATTTACTCTTATGCATTTAATGAAAGAAACATTTCTTTTTAAGGATATTACACAATTTCTTATCTAAAACAGAAAGTTTTCATATAATGCTAGGAAAAAAAACAATATTAGATTCCAAGTATGTGGATTAGTTAGAGTAAAATCTTATACAAAGGGGAAATAAAGAGAAAAGTGAGTATTTATTCCGATGAGACAGGTAGTATTTAGGGTGGCATGGTTGTAGTTATAAGCAACGGTTCCAAACCAAGGATTTTTATCCAAGGGTTTTTAAGTGGCTGAGATAAATGGTTTCCAGACTAGTTTTTTTTTTTTTTTTTTTTTTTTTTTTTGTGTGTGTGTGTGTGTGTGTGTTCACTGCTCACTGTTAAAGAACTTTAAAATTTCATTTTTCAATTAAAATAGTCATGCTTAGCTATATTACCCTTTAAAGAAACCCACATTTCAACAAAGACCTATTTTGTTATTTGTTAAAAGAATAAATTTAACAGTTGGGGAGAAATTCTTCTGTTTTACTTTACATAAAAGTTTAACAATTTGAAAAGACTTCTTGGGTTTTTTTGTTTCCTTTCCTTAGACTATGTCCATACAGGTGGCTAAGCTGCTAGTAGGGCCTGTTCAATATGTGGTTATGGCTATTGTAACAATGTTTCTGCTCACTTCTTTGCTGGAACAATTAGGATATTCTAACATTTCTGAGCCAAGCTTGGCCATGTTCTAATTGTTTCATCTGTATTTGTAGAACACATCTATACTAGAGAAATAAACAATCATGTTTATGTGGGTGACAGTGTTCATGCCCATTTAATCATAAGAAATTGGACATAAAATACCAGAGTCTATCTGGAAAAAAATTCAACAGCATTAATTGTATTGTGGGTTTGGGCAATGTCAGTAAACAAGAACCAAGGCAATAGGAATAAATGAAAGTTGGTCATTACCCAATTAAGGAACAGAAAGACTGGGTATGCTGGGGGAACATATGAAATATACTGTCAAAATAAGATATGAGTCTCAATAAAATAGTGACAACTACACATCCTATAATTTTTGCCTTGTAGCATACAAATAAGAAGGAAACATTTTACGTTTTGTCACGCTATTCGACAAAAAACTAAGTTATATGTGGAGAAAGTTATTTATTTTGGACCACTAAATTACCCATGGTTTCTTGCTGAAACTAAATGCACTTACACATGAACGTAGCATAAAGATACCACATGCTTTCTTAGGTACTAAGCTGCAGTAATATGACACAGGCCATTTTCGTCTGATCCAGTTCAGGTTCAGCAGGACCTTTGAAAATACTGGCTGTTCATAATGTAAGTAATACATCACCAGATTCAATTCACTCTGCAGTTTTGAATATGCCATATTAAGGATGGAAAGAAAGGGGTTAAAATTAGTGCTCATTGAACATGAGCTTCACATAATGGGAAGTCAAGTGGATTAGAAAATTTCATACAGTAAATTTTAGTGGAAAAACCTGCAAACAAGCATTATTATTTATTTCTTCTTCATTGCACTGCATATATTTGACTAAAATAAGAATAGAATTTAAAATATTCACTAGATGAGGTAGTTTACAACACTATTGATGCATGGATTCCACCTCAAAATTCTTTCAATATCTTAGTAGACTGCAAAATTGGGACATTAGACAAATCTTTGCTAGTGATTAGAACTGCCTTTTTCACAGAGATAGAAGTAAGCACAATTAAATTTCTCTTATTTTCCTATCCCTGGTGTTGCAAATTGAACCCAGGATCTCATTTACTCTGGAAAAAAACACTTAGACAATGACTCACACTTACAGCCTCAATAATTTTTATTATATGTTCCTCATCAGTAACAACTATTTTCGAGGTCTGACCAAGTGCCGTTTTTTCCTAAGAGATCATTAACGCTTTCCCCAAATACACGCTCAGTGTCTAGGCTCTAAGATGTGAATGTAAAATTGATAATCATTTTTCTCCTCCTTGCAGAGTGGAGAAATTGAAGTTTAAGAAAGGCAATCGATCTGGCTACGATCACACAGTGAATTATCAGGGGAAGAAAGACTATAACTAATGACTTAGAGCAATGTTGGCAACATTATCTGGATGTTAAAATGGCTATTATTGATTTAAAAAAGACAACCTTTAGGTAATCTAATGCTTCAGTCAGAAAGTACCATATATATTTTTTAAACCCTGGACTTCTTTATACTGGCAAAATAGTCCATAGATTGCTGATCTTATTCAACTTATCCATGTCAAGATTAATGAAAGAAATACTGTATTTTTTAAATAAGAAAGTAATGCCAAATGTTTCTATTTTGCTAGGTAGAATAGAACATATTCCCAGAAATAAACTTCTGAATGTTTCAAGGCTTAAAAAATCACTAGTTTAAGATATAACCTGGATTACTTTTATAAATCACTACTAGTATCATACATGTAATTATATGTATAATTCATTAGTTTTCTGTTTTAGAGACAGAGTCCAGGCTGTACGCATGACCTTCCTGCCTCAAATTTCCAAGTGATGACAAGTGTGTGTCACCACCATATCGAGTGTCTTTTATGCTTGGAGAATATATTTTGAAAATCATTATACTCAGTCTTGAGTATGAAAAAAAATCATAGTTCCTATTTAAGCTGCCAATTCTATAGGCTGTGGCATTTAGTATAATTTTTGTTTCATTTTCTATTTTGGCCCACATTGTGTTCATATCTTATTTCAGTAGTCTTTTATCAGAAGAAAACTAGAAAAGGAAAAGCAAAATGCATGATACTTTTCTTATTTTATAGTAATCTTTGGGAAAGAACCAAAGCAATCTGAGGTTAGAACTAGATATTCAGTCTGTGAGCTACTCTCAGATGTCAAGAAACAAAGACATTGACTAGTTAACTAGTTATGGAACAGAATCCAAAATTGATATAAGATTTTTCAGACAAGAAAAACATTCTAGCGCTGGGCAAAGCTGACAGAGTAGGTTTGCCATCATGGACACCTTGGAGAAGAGGAGACAACCTGTTACAAAAAACACAGGCTACATTGTCTGCAGCAGAGAAGCTGTGAAATTGAACCTTTGGGAGATTATTTCTTGAGGACAGGGGCAAAGATTGTGACACATGTGTGTCATACACTCATTTGAATTCTGTGGTACCACTGGCATTGTGCTCAATACTATTGCTCTTATTCACTTAAAAATCTGTATTTCAGAGTCTTATAAATCAAACATATCATAATTCTGCTGTGCTTTATTTGCTTGTTTGTTTAAGGTAAGTTCTTGGCCAAGGCTGAATTCAAACTCACAACAGTTTTACTATCTAACCTTCCTTAATGCTGGAGTGATGGCATAAGCCACCATGCCTGGCTTATAAAAACATTTTCGTATGCCTTGAAATGTACAAACCATGTATAAAGAAGCAATGCACTTAAATAAAGCTATCCAAGGCAACTAAAGCCTTTTGTATTGTGATCTCCATGTATGGTCAAAGCTGAAATAGTAAAATTCATGAATGTGGACAAACAATATCCATGAGGGGACTCTCCTAGTTGGACTTTGTGGTTCAGTATATCAGTTCAACATACAAAGACTTCTTTCTTTGAAGGAAAGGAGAATTATGGGATGCTCAGACATTAACGTTTTCCCTGGAAATGTCTGGGATGGGCTACATATGCACAACCTTCTTGGAGTATAAGACATCAGTGATTTTAGTTTTGATAATTTTGGCTGAATAAAATCTTCCAAGACTATTTACTAGATTATAGTTTACCTGCATCTCATACTTCTCACATATAACTTTTCTGATAAGGAGTTAGCACGGTGGTAAATAACTTAGCAGCAAATTTGACATCATTTAGTGTTAAATGTAATACGTTATATTATTAGGCTTAAGTCAATATATATATATATGTATATGTATATGTATATGTATATGTATATGTATGATTTTTCTTCAGACTATATGTTTAAATAAAAAACCTGAAGGTCAAATGCTATTTGGAAGGAATCTGTAAACAAATATCCATAGCAAAAAACAAAAGGCATTTCAGTTTTGGAGTGGAGGCCTCAAAACATTTTTGACTTACATTGCAAAATGTGATACACTATGGTCACAAAGAATTGCACAAAGTAATTTCATGCTTACTTAGTGAGGAGCAACATGTCATAGAACAGACTGTCCAGACATTTGTGAGCTCTAGCAGCTGCTAGTGGATAAATAAATGCCCGCATTTTTCATTCAGAAAAAGTTCCCCAAACATGATATCTAGTTATGGGTTGGGATAGCTCCATCTCTACAAAATTCTTGAGGAATTTCTTTAAAATTTGGTTTTCTCTACTTAAAGGGTATCCTGAAATTAAGAAAATATTCTGATCATTTTGACTTTGTACTCTAGTATCAAACAAACAAACAAAAAACCTCTGAACACCTAGTCTTAAGAAAACTATGTTTAAAAAGATTATAAAATAACCATTTGCTCCATGAAATTCTAAGCCAGAATGGAGAATACAGATGAAGAGATATGAAGAATCCAAATATGACATGTCATTTTTCAACTTGACACATTGTGGCTTACTGGTCTCTCATGAGACTTACCTGCTGTTGTTCCTTATCATCAGCTTTCATAGCCAGAATCAGATTTCTAACAAAAGTCTGGAGCTTAAAGTACTTTTGTTTTTGAATCTCTAGCTCATTTTCAATGAATCTGACTTCTTCATTCTAATGGAGAAAACATCAAACAATAAAATTACCCCATGTAAACTCAAACCTGTATATTTGATGAAGAATAAAACTAAAATCAATCAGAGTATAGAAACAATAAAGAACATACAATTTTAACCATAAAGGAATATAAAACACGGAAAGAAGTCATCCTGGTATTCAAAGGCTGTCTTTTAAACAAATCATCAATTGTAAATAATTTGCAAATAGATTCCAGGAAGAGAGAAAAAGAAGAAATACTTATCTTCTTGGAGCAATGTTCCTATATCAAGCTTAATTAGCATTTGTATTAGAATTAAGAATAGAGTTCAGTTAACCCCAAGAGCAATAGAAAATGCAATAATATTCAGTGCATTATTTACAAAGTCAAATTCTAAAATCCAAAACAGTTATTTTGTACCAAGTAGGGACTGAAATTATTAAAATTTTATGTATGCATTCAACTAAATATAAAATCTAAAATAATAAAACCTCTACAGGAAAATGGGAGGTGGAAGCAAGAGGGTCAGGAGTTCAAGTCCAACCTTGACCATATAGTGGGTTTGAGGCTACATGGAAACTTTGTCTGTTGTGGAATAATCCTTTTGTATACTGTGACTACATGTCACTGTGATTGGTTTAATAAAGAAGCTGACAGGTCAACAGCTGAATAGGATAAAGTTAGGCATGAGAGCCAACCTGAGAATGATGGGAAGAAGAAGGGCAAAGTCAGGGCACTTGGCAGGAGAAGCAAAAGGAGCAAGACATGCTGGTAAAGCCACAAGCCATGTGGCAATACATACATTAATAGAAATGGGTTAATTTAAGTTGTAAGAGATAGCAATAAGCTTGAGCTGTCTGCCAAGCATTTATAAATAACAGTAAGTCTCCATGTTGGTTATTTGGGAACTGGCAGGCAGGAAAGAAAAGTCTGCCCATATCTGTCTCAAATAAAACAACAAAACAAAAACAAACAAACAAAGGATTAAAGGGATAAATACAAACTTAATCTAAAAAAGTTAAAATACAAACCACACACTGAAAGAAAATACTCTAATTCATGTAAAAGGAAAAAAGGTATTGAAATTTAGAAATTTTAAAACTAGCAATATACTAAAATGTGGGGGAAGATATTCAAGTAGACATTTTGTGAAAAAAGTTATACATTCAAAAGATAGGTAACATAATTTTCACTAAGGAATTCAAATGAAAACCAGAGTGATACTACTACCAACTTGCTACAATGACTAATGTTAAAGAGATTGACAAGATAAAGTTGCTAATAAGAATATGGAGCAACTAAAAGTCTCATACAATGCTAGTGGGAATGTCAAATAATAAGGGGACTTTCAAAAACATTTTGACTGTCATAAAATTCAGCATGTTCTTTCTTAGTAACCATATTTTTAGTTATTTACTTAAGAACAATGAAAAGACACAAATTTTCTTCACAACTTCATTCATAATAGCACCCAAATGCAACTAGTTACAGATTATTGTGGTTTGAATGTGAAATGCCTGCCGCAGGCTCCTGTTTGAATACTTGGTGTCTGTCTTGTGGTGCTATTCTGGAAGGTTGTGAAACCTTTATGAGATAGAGCTGCTACGAGATGTGAGTCACTGGAGGCTGGTCTTGAGGTGTCATTTCTTCCTGTCTTCTGTCTGCTTGTGGATAGTAGATACAATGTGAAAAAGCCCCTCACATTTCTGCCCTCATGTCTTCCCTACCATAATAGGCTGTATTCCTTTGAACTTGGAAGGGTCCAGAACAAAACCTTCCCTTTAATTGCTTCTTGTCTGGTATTTGATTACAGCAATGAGAAAACTAATTAATCCACAAATGAATAAACAATTTGTTAAATTCATTAAATTTAAGAGGTGAATTTCACTGTATGGACTTTTTTGCTGTTTGGAAGTTATGTAATATAGTACACTGATTAAACAAAAGCATACATAATACCTCAAATAATAATAACATTAATAAAATTTAAGATGGACATTGTGGAATACTCCTATTAATCCCGGCACTAAAGAGTTTTCAAACTTGGGATACAGACTGAGACCCTGGCTCAAATCCCAACCAAACAAAAGAAACATCTTTTTTTTTCATCTAACAGAAGCTTTGCACCATTTGGCCATCAATCATCTCTCAGTCCTCTCACCACGCAGCCTTGGGTGGCTACCATTCTCAATTGTTTTAGATTCCAAATATAAGTAAGAAAATGTCATACTTTCTGTACCTGGCTTATTTCACTTAGCATAATTTATGTTCTGAAATTTAATTCATGCTTTCACAAATGGCAAATAATTACTTATGTTTAATAGCATATGCGGTGAATATTGTAAATGATGTGCAAAATTTAAAGTTCTTACCATAGAAAATAAGTCATTGAAGTGATGGACATGTTAATTAGCTTGATTTAATTATTTTACATTGTATTCATAAATCATACCATAACCTTTTACCTCATGAATATATAAAGCTATAATTTGCCAATTTACAATTAAAATATAATTTATGAAAAAATAAAAATCAATAAAAAAAACAAATTATCAATCACCCTCCTTGACAAAAACTGCAGAAGTAGAGAGAATATTCTTTTTGGCTGGAGACCTGGTCTCAAAGTACAGCAGTTCTTTAAGCAGCATTTGTTCAAAGAGCTTCCTAAAAACATATTAAAATTAGTTGATTGTATGGGTGTTTTGGAGTTTCAGTCAAGTGGATGTTGTGGTATTAATCACATCCAATCTGTGAACATGTTTACTATATCACGTATTAGCTCAGTTCAAATCTTAATTTATGTGATGAGACTGCTTCCTTCCAGACCACTTAATAAGTGAAACATCTGGCCAAGCTAAAATTCTATTCAGTCACTACACAACTAAGTTAAAAGTAAGCATTCTAAAGAAATTCAACATGTTTCTATCATGATAGGGTTTTTATACTTGTAAACCTTTGTTTTCATTAGAGTCATGGTCAGAGAAATTGTATTTGTAAAATGTTGACCAGAAAATGATTTTTGCCTGTTTTGTATGTTTCATATTTGATGCACATGTACGTGGTATATGTGTGGTTATGTGTGTGCACAAACCCGTATGTGGGTCTCTCTCTCTCTCTTTCTCTCTCTCCCCCCCCGTGTGTGTGTGTGTGTGTGTGTGTGTGTGTGTGTGTGTGTGTGTGTAAGTCAGAGGTGGATATCAGGTATTTTCTCTAGTTGCTTTCCAAACTATTTTTTTAAACATGGTCTCTCACTGAAGCTGAAGCCCACTGTTTGAGCTAGGCCCAGTTAGCCCTTTGTCTCTGCCTTTGCAGCACTGACTGGGTTTACAAGTATGTATCAGAGGCTAGGCTTTTCACATGGGTGCTGTGAATCCAAACTCAGCAAGCACTTTACCCATTCAGTTATCTCCCCAGTCCTTGTTTTGCTTTTGTTGTTGTTGAGGTTTTTGAATTGTTACTTTTCTTTTTCGTTTTCTTCGAGACAGAGTCTCATATAGCTAGGCTATCCTTGAACTTGCCCTGCAAGGGCACCCTTGAACTTCTGATCCTTCTCCCTCCACTTCTCTGGGTTTGCAGGTGTGTACCAGCATACTGGGCTGAAAGTCATTTGAATACAGGCAGTATCTATCATTTAATGGTGACTCATTTGCATTCACAGTCTGCCTGAGTTGTACTCATAGTCCATCAGAAAACATTTTAAAAACATTAGTTTATATTTGCAAAAATCACGAAAGCACCTTTTTGTATGAAGATCTCTAATTTTTCATGCAAATATTTCCCTTCTTTGGTACTTATGAAATGTTTGAAAAGCATAAACAGCTTTAAGATAATTTAATATTGCAGACATTTTCTTCTCAGAAATGCTTTTTTTTTGCAAGCCTATTAAATGCTTCCTAGATAACAAGCAGTAATTTATGTGTGCTTTAGAGGTTTTCCTAAGTAAATGGACTACTTGGGAAAGCAACTAGTAAGACAATGGCAGTCACTGAGCTTTATGAAACAAGGTCTAGTTTAGTTTTGTTAAAAAACCTTCCCCACATTCCCAGCAAATGGTTTTTATTTTTGCAAGATGCTTGCTGTGAGACACAAGGTTGCAAATATGCCAGAGCTTTGATCTCTGGGAAGGCTATTAATGGTTACCATGCCTGATGTCCTATTTTATGATATAGTTACTCATGCCACAGGTATTGTGTTCATCTACTTTCCTCCTAAGGATTTGGGATTAGTCAGAACTCCCAGAAATATGGGTTTCTAATGAGGGATCTCAATCAGGAATGCTATCACATCTAAACTTTATAATAGTAAAATGCATTTTAGAGAATAGTCTTTTAGTTTGCTATAATAAATCCCAAGTACAGAAGATGAATTCAATGTGGGAAAGTTTAAAAATGCTGTAGCTTCTAATACTAATTAAATTATACAAATAAACACTTGGGAAACTGTTAAAATTATTTCCAGAGACAAATTGATTTGTTCAATTACTTTCTAAGCAACTGCTTACTAAACATCTATGTGCCAGGCTCCCCATCCAAGTAACACATAGGTGATTAAAATATGTTTCTACCTTCAAGAAACTTATTATGACTATACTTAAGAAATGCAATAAAGTAACTTTCACCCCTAAATAAGGAACACTGGTGTTTCTATTTAAATAAAGTACAGCAACTTTCTTCAAGGTATTAAATTTCTTAACTGGTATATTCTATATCAATGCTCAAAATATGCAATGGCAACTCCAGGTACGAAGTTCATAGACAGTAAATGGAAGCATTTTAAAATAATGTGTAAATAAATACATTTTCTCTATATATGTGCACAAATTTGAGGATTCAAGGAAAGAAATTTAAATGTGATCGAGATGATTATAAAGAATGTCCCTAATGATCTATTATGGCATTCCTTGTTCCCACAATATTTCCCACAATGGAAGACACTGGGTTACAAAAATATCCATTAAAGTTCAATGCAAACATTCACTGACATTTCTGCGCTGGCTACTATGCTCTTCCTTCCCTGGTCTTTAGCTGCAAACCTTCTCAAGTGGACTGGCACAGAGAAGGGGAGAGGTCTTGGAAAGAATCCTCTAAGTCTCTAGCCCAACCCTATTAAGTGGAGCACACTTAACAGCTGTGCAATCCAGTCCTCTCGCCTGGACTTTCCATAGCCTGTGCCAAGTAGTGACCTGGTCTGCAGAGTCATTTTAATCCTGAACTCAGTATTTAGAAGTATTATATGACCATGGAGAAGTTATTAGCATGATCTCTTCTAACTGAAACCCAGAAACTTTATAATTCAGCTGGTTGGAATAGTTTATTTTTATTAAAATGTATTCATTTTAATGAATTATACATTATAAATTCTAGGCTGGCCTTGAAATAAGGGAGGTCCTCCTGCCTCAGCCTTGTGAGTGCTGGGATTCCAAGTGTAACCTACCCTATCTAGCTGTAAAAACTATAGACTTTTATTGTGCTCTTTGACCACTAAGAAATAAATCTCAAAAGACAATTTCCCCTTGTGTTTTAACAAAATATTTTAAAACTTGATGTGTTGTGAACGTTAGGAAAACAATATGTACAATGGTCTAAAATTCAGTTACACTATTCTGAAACTGAAAGGACTATTTGAGAAAGGTGACAGCTGTTTTCTAATTAAATGGCAGTCTTTGTTACTATCATAAGCTTTAAATTCTGATTATCCTCCACAAAAAGAATATTTGTATTTAGAAGAAAGCACTGTGTGCCAAAATTTCAGAAAGCCCAAAGTATCCTAGCTAGATGTGCTGCTGAGTGACAAGGAGGAGAACACTGGTACATCTGTGCAAGAAACATATTGACAAACAGACTGATAGCTTATGTCAAAACTGAGTAAACACAAAATTATGCATGACACACTACCAAAGGATGCCTTCCAATTTAGTAACAAGTGACATTAAGAAAAGGTCATCTCTATTCATATTCATCCTATATTTTCATTGGGAATTGTTTTCCAAATTTTCATAAAACAGTATCAGGTATAGTTTTAAAGACAGTCTTAGAAGAAACTGCAACCCAATAAACAATTAGCAAGGGATACTAGAAAAGAAATTCTCCCATTTACTAACACTTTTATGTTACTGTTGTGTTTATTTTGTTTGAGACAGTGTCTTTCAATGTTGTCCAGTCTGGCTTCAAATTCCTGAAATAAAGTGATGGTCCTGCCCCATCCCCACACATATCTGGGACTCCATGTACATACTGCCACCATTAGCAGCTTTACCATAAATTCTACATTAATTGCCACGATGTGTTGTTCCCACTTGCTGAACACCAACAATGCCAATTT